TCATTGATCACATCAAAGAAACGGCACTAGTAAATCTTACGTCAAAACACCGCAGCGTCGTTAACTTCTAAATGTGGTGATTTGCATGTAAAATGCAGTATTCCGTTAAAGTCCGTGTCACTGCCCCCCCCCCCTCCCCCAAGTACTTTCCTCAGGATCCTTGTTCTGTCTCAGACCACCAGTCAGGTAGAATCGAGTGAGAGAGACAGTGGACACGTTCGCTTCTCTCTGATTTTGTAGCTTTCCTGATAACTGTAGTGGACGACTTTTGTCTGTAGTCTTATACAGCTGACGATCTTTTATTGTATTACAAAGGAAGACGTTCTCTGTCTCTCCTTTACTCCCCACGAAGATTAACCAGCTCATTCAGAGTAAAATGTTGTTGCATACGAGATTTTAAGTGACAGGAAATCTAGTCTATACACGACTTTTGACCTGTGAATGCGGATCACCTTCATGTTCCAATTGTTCAACAATGTTACTGACAGTGTTTTCCTAATTCATTAGAAACAATTTCGGTATATTAGAATCCACTTTTGTTCACTTAAGGTTTATGTTCATTCCATGGGCCTATTCCTATTAACGCTTTTATAACTCTGATAAGATTGTCTCTTGGTTATTATAGTACTTTGATATTTTACTTCAAAATTCTGTTGAAAGAAATTGTTCGTTCCTGATCTGAGGTCACTGCAATTCAGAACTTGTTTGTCGACCATATTATGATTAACCATTGGAAAATTTCTTGTTATTACTTGTGAAAATAAACGTGACATTGGTCCTAATTTTCTTACCCGTATAATACGTGTTTTGTAGTGGAACGGTCTCACGTTAGAGAAAGAAATTAAGGTTTGTTATTCAGGGCCAATAAGAATACACGGTCGTTAGAAACTCTTAGATTTGAACATGAAATGGTTTAGAAAGGTTTCTCTGTTACTTATGTTTTCATTGTTCTTGCTATTATTAAGGAATTTTACGAACATTATGAACATGACTTCTACCAAATTAAGTGATAACTTCTTCTATCATCACTAACCCATAACTTAAATTATTGATCTGAAAAATTCAATTAGTATTTGATCAAAATTATTTTTTCGTAATTATTTCAATTATTAATTTACAAGTATAAAATTACATTCTTCACTTTTAAAACCTCAAATGATAAGGTCATCTTTAAGAAATGGAATTCATTTCAGTTACAGAGAAATAGCTCCTAGGATGTGTTCGGGAATACTGTTCGTACATCGACACCGAACGTTGGAACGTAATGCTCTGGTTCCTATAACGTTTTTCCTGCAAGGCGGAGAATGTGATAACATGAATAAAAGCGACACTGTCTCACACAGGCCCTATCTTCAGTAACTTATTATTTCACTGGGCCTTGCTTAATAAACTTTGCCATCAATTTTCATTTTATTTCTTAGCCGAGAAACCACGCAGATGAGAAATTTGAAACTGGCACCAAGAGACGCTAAGTTTTTACTGACATTTTCATTGATTTCTTCCGTCCATTCGTTAGCTGTAGTGTTAGTAGGGCTCAGGCGTCTTGGTTTCATTAATCTGCTCAGTTTCTTAAGGTACAGGCAGGCATTTCTTTCTTCTATACATTATACATCCGACTCTGGGGCCCTTCAAACCTGGAACTGACCACTCATCTTTTTAGCCGAGAATTTGAATGTTTTTATCTATACTTTTCCAAACGTCTTTATGGTGTAATACTTAGACACAGGGACAATGTTATTTTCTTATCTTATGTAGTAGACCACGATCTGTTGCATTCCAGTGCATGACT